GCTTGGGGGGGCGCGCCCCCTCCTTTGCTCCTTCTCCATCCCTTCCACTAAGGCCCAATAAGGCCCATATACTTACCGGGGGGTTCCGGTAACCTCCCGGAACTCCGGTATAATCCCAATCTCATCCAGAACCTTTCCGGTGTCCAAATATATCCGTCCAATATATCAATCTTTATGTCTCGACCATTTTGAGACTCCTCGTCATGTCCGTGATCACATCCGGGACTCCGAACAACCTTCGGTACATCAAAATACATAAACTCATAATAAAACTGTCATCGAAACCTTAAGCGTGCGGACCCTACGGTTCGAGAACAATGTAGACATGACCGAGACACGTCTCCGGTCAATAACCAATAACGGTACCTGGATGCCCATATTGGTTCCTACATATTCTACGAAGATCTTTATCGGTCAGACCGCATAACAACATACGTTGTTCCCTTTGTCATCGGTATGTTACTTGCCCGAGATTCGATCGTCGGTATCCAATACCTAGTTCAATCTTGTTACCGGCAAGTCTCTTTACTCGTTCCGTAATACATCATCTCGCAACTAACTCATTAGTTGCAATGCTTGCAAGGCTTAAGTGATGTGCATTACCAAGAGGGCCCAGAGATACCTCTCGGACATTCAGAGTGACAAATCCTAATCTCGAAATACGCCAACCCAACAAGTACCTTTGGAGACACCTGTACAGCACCTTTATAATCACCCAGTTACGTTGTGACGTTTGGTAGCACACAAAGTGTTCCTCCGGTAAACGGGAGTTGCATAATCTCATAGTCATAGGAACATGTATAAGTCATGAAGAAAGCAATAGCAACATACTAAACGATCGGGTGCTAAGCTAACGGAATGGGTCATGTCAATCAGATCATTGAACTAATGATGTGATCTCGTTAATCAAATAACAACTCCTTGTTCATGGTTTAGGAAACATAACCATCTTTGATTAACAAGCTAGTCAAGTAGAGGCATACTAGTAACATTCTGTTTGTCTATATATTCACACATGTATTATGTTTCCGGTTAATACAATTCTAGCATGAATAATAAACATTTATCATGATATAAGGAAATAAATAATAACTTTATTATTGCCTCTAGGGCATATTTCCTTCAACTTCAACCCATGAAGGGTAACGGTTGCGCGAGTCCACGGAGGGCTCCACCCATGAAGGGTCCACGAAGAAGCAACCTTGTCTATCCCACCATGGTCGTCGCCCACGAAGGACTTGCCTCACTAGGGTAGATCTTCACGAAGTAGGCGATCTCCTCGCCCTTACAAACTCCTTGGTTCAACTCCACAATCTTGTCGGAGGCTCCCAAGTGACACCTAGCCAATCTAGGAGACACCACTCTCCAAGAAGTAACAAATGGTGTGTTGATGATGAACTCCTTGCTCTTGTGCTTCAAATGATAGTCTCCCCAACACTCAACTCTCTCTCACAGGATTTGGATTTGGTGGAAAGAAGATTTGAGTGGAAAGCAACTTGGGGAAGGCTAGAGATCAAGATTTATGTGGTAGGAATGGAATATGTTGACCTCAACACTAGTGTAGGTGGTTCTCTCTTAGAAAATATATGTTGGAAGTGTAGGCATGTTATGATGGCTCCTCCTCGAATGAAGAGTGGGTGGAGGGGTATATATAGCCTCCACACAAAATCTAACCGTTACACACAACTTACCAAACTCGGTTGGAGCGATTTAGTAAATAATGTGACCGTTAGGATTTTCGGTGGGACCGACATGTCATCTCGGTGGGACCGATATGGTTAGGGTTAGGGCATAACGTGATCTCGGTGAGACCGATTACACAAACTCGGTGAGACCGATTTTGGTAATAGACACACAAAGGGTTGGTCAGGCTAACTCGGTGGGACCTTCACTAATCTCGATTAGACCAAAACGTTGCGAATGGGAACAGAGTTTGTATTGTAATCTCGGTACGTCTGATTACACAAACTCGGTAAGAACAATTTTGGTAATGGACACACACAGAGAGATTACAATCCCATCTCGGTGAGACCGAGATCCATATCGGTGAGACCGAGATCCATATCGGTGAGACCGAAAAGACTAGGGTTTCTGGCAGTGGCTATGTCACGAGAACTCGTTGGCGTCGGATAGAAAGATTCGGTAAGGCCGATTTTGACTTTTCATTTGGGACATATGTGGATGTGAGAAAGTGGTTGAGGGCTTTGGAGCATATCACTAAGCACTTTGAGCAAGCAAGCCATTATGCAACACCTCATCCCCTCTTAATAGTATTGGCTTTCCTATGGACTCAATGTGATCTTGGATCACTAAAAGTAAAATGTAGAATCTTGTGCTTTGAGCTTGAGCCAATCCTTTGTCCTTAGCATCTTGAAGGGGTTCCACATCCTCTAGTCCATGCCACTCCATTGTTGAACTTATCTGAAACATACTAGGTAAAAGTATTAGTCCAACAAGAGATATGTTGACATTAATTACCAAAATCACCCAGGGAGCACTTGTGCTTTCAACGTCTCGCAATCCATATCCCCCATAGGTTTGCCGTCAACCGGGTGAACCAATCAGGTGAAAGCACATCCATCAAAGTAAACATCCAATTTATAGAATAAGGTTCAGCCATGGCCATCATCTGGTCAAAAAGCTCCAGGTCAATTAATGCCCACACATATCTCGCCATTGAGCACTCAATAAGAATGTGCCTCCAAGAGTCACGCATGCCACAAACTGAACATCCATCTATGTCAGACATATTTCTATCTGTTCGAACATCCTCAATGGGTAATGAATGTTAGGCCAATCTCATTTGCTGGTACTAGACATTTCAAAGAGTGGTCCAAGACTTCTCATTTGTTGCATTATTCGAGGAGCCCGGCGCTCATCAAGCCAATCTTGGCAACACTTTTTTGTTGCCACAATCATCCTATACACCGACCGTATCGAAAAGATTCCTGATTTCTCAAAGTTCCAGGACCATAAATCCTCCACATTGCAGGTACAAATAGGAATATGCATAATTGACAAAGCATCATATGGTAGAAAGACTTGCATGATAACCTTGTTGTTCCATCTTGTGTTCGGGATGTCAAGTAGTTCTGAAACAAGCTGCGGTGGGTGAATCACAAGCGAGATGATTGGGCACATATTTTCCTGTCTTGGGATCCAGTTGAAGTTCCATATTTCAGTGGTTGTACCATTGCCAATTCGCCTAATCAGCCCTTGCTTAAGGGTATCACGTCCCTTAATGATTGCACTCCAAATCTGTGATGGATGAGTCCCAAGTGTTGCATTCAAAAAAATGAACTTCTCGAAAGTACACTGCCTTCAGTATTCTTGCACTTAATGAGTATGGGTTCTCTAGGATTCTCCAAGCCTATCTTGCAAGAAGCCCAAGATTGAAAATTTTGAAGTCCTTGAAACTCTGATCCCTAGACATGCTCACCGTATCCCCAGCATGGGTTGCGCTCGCCTCTTTTACTCCCCACCAAAAGGCTTTGATCATAGATGTGAGGCGTTCACACAAACCCCACGACAGTTTAAAACAAGACATTGACAGTTGGGGTGTTGGGAGTTTTAGCTCCCGTGGCTCGCTGGCATGTGAAAGCTGGGGTGTCAGCCCCCAGATGTGTGTAGTTATGTGTTTTTCTATCCAGTGTCCTTGCATGTTCTAGGTCTAGTCACACGTTATCCCCTCGCTTCTCTTGTTGAGGTGAGGGAGGGGTGTGGAACCTAGCTGGTGGTTTTGCTGTGTTTGGGTAGTAGCCAAATTGTTGGTTTAGTCAATAAAATCGGGGAAGAAATCGGAAATTCACTTTGGCTCATAGGTATATATGCACCCATTGTCTAAATACACTTTTTAAAAAGTTTAAAAAAATAGAGAAAAAATCCCACGTGCAAATCCCGACATTATATGTGTGTGCACCAAGTTTCGATGAAAAGGGACATTTTTTGTGGCTTGTGTAAAAAAAGACATTTTTTGATGCTTGATTGCAGCTATTCACGAGGCATTTCTTTATCTTTTTCATACATGCCACAAAAAATGTCCTTTTCACCCAAATTTTGTGTGCGGACATAGGATGCTCGGATGTACACGTTGGATTTTTTTTCAATTTTTTTCACATTTTGAAATGTTTCTTATACGTATTTCATAATAGGTGTATTCTAAATATACTAAACCTAGCTAGGTTTGATTTACCTAGATTTTTTGACTTTTTTCTATCAGTGAAAATGGGGCCAATGGGGAGGCGACACCTTAGTTAGTGGGGGATCTAGCTGGGCAGGATCTGGGTGTGCCCAATGATTTTACATAGGATTGAGACATTCCGTTTGTTGCATTGTCAGTTTGTGTGTGAGTGCATGTATCTGATTTGACTACATAGATCAAATGGATCTTGCCGATTAGCTTTTTTGGCAGTTTGTATGCAGCGCGGACGTGGTGGTTGCGATGTGCATACAATTTGCATGTCCAGAATTGTCTCAGCCATTGCCGATTGGTGTGGGCAGGTGCAGCTTTCCCCCCTCCCATGTGTTGGTTATACTGGGGCCGCCACGTTGTATGATACTCCCTTTGTAAACTAATATAAGAGCACTTAGATCATTAAAGTAATGATCTAAACGCTCTTATATAAGTTTACGAAGGGAGTACTGTAAAAAGTTTAACACTTTTCTTCCCATCTATCCACATCTCTCTGGAAGGATCGTAGCAAAGACGTGCCCGACTGAACCACCGCTTCGCCGCCATATGACCCCTATAAAATCTGCCCTGCTGTTTACTCCCAGCATCGCCATTCCTCGGTCCGCCGTGGAGTAGTGGTAAGCCCATCCAACCCGTCTGCGCTTCAAGCTCGTGGCTGCTGTGATCGACCTCATGCTAGCCGTCGTCACCTCGCCCCGCTCTCCTCTAACCCTGCTTTATCTTCCGTCTTGTTTGGCCGTTCCATCCCCTGCTCCACGTCCAGAGGTGTCGCGGAGTCCCGGCGACCGAGGCCGTCGGGTACGCGGTGATGGCATATGCGCGCACACTGGCTAGGGCGGAGGCCCTGATCGCCGCCGGAGTGTGCCTTGTGGACACGGCGGCCTCCGTCGCCGCTACCTCCGACATGGTCTTCATGGTGGTCGACGATCTCCGAAAGATCATGGTCGGCAACCCCGACGACGTTCGTGTCGTCGTCGGCTGTGCCATGGCAGACCGCCAACAAGAAGGTGCCCGGAGGGAGGTGCATGCAGAATTGCAGACTATGGTGGCGGTCACGAACGTGACAATGGTGTGTGGGCACGTGAGTTCCATCGGGTTGTTGCTGACACCATCGGCATCGACGATCCTCGGAAGGCTTGCAGCACATGAACACAACCTGATGAGCTGCGGGCCTCCGATTTCTGCCGGTAGAAGCAGAAGGGGTGCAGGGACATGGCGGTGCGGATGAGAGGTTGTGGCGTCATCTTCGCCGCGGACGCTTCAAAGACCTGCAGCACGGCCGTCGGGTGTTGTCGTCTCCGCCTCACGCTCCCGTAACAGAACAGCGTCAGCGCCATGGCCCTCGACTCCGGGAACCTATGGCCCCTTCATCCTGGCCGCGACCGCCCCCTATGGCCCTCTGCATCGATGACGGGTGGACCCCGAGTGCGGACGAAGGGAACTGTGACTGTAGGCCTCGCCACTGCAGGGCTCTTGGTCGTTTCCATGCAACCGAAGTCGCGACCGTGAGTCGCGTCATGTAGCCCCCGCCTGTACGCAACCATCTCGGGTGCAAGAAAGCACGCCGCCCAGCCGTGCCCGCGATCAGTCGCCATGGCTGACGCCGCAGGCTGCGTCGCCTCAGACGCTCAGTAATCAGTGTCTGTGCGTTGCCTTGGCGGTGTTGTACTGCAGGTTGCTTAGTATCCGTGCCTTTCTCCCTGCATCTGCCCAGATCGATGCAGCACATGCTATCCTGGTGGTGACCACCACGGCCAGAAGCAGCATCCAAGAGGCCAGACATGCTTGCTCTTGGCAGCCGTTCGCTCACTTGCTGCACGGCAGCACCGATACACAGCATAGGCCACTGTCGTTGGCGTACTGGCTCCCGGGCAGCGTGTTGATCTACCCGTGCTAGGGTATTTCTTCTATGTATTCGTTGTTAGAGACATTGAGCAGCACGACGAAGGAGAGGCCGGAGAGCATTTTCGGTACAAGATCCACCGTGACGAATTCGTTTTGCTAAAATTTGGTTCAGTTACACGCCTAATTAATCGCTATAGCCTGACTCTGTATGTGTCGATCATGAGCAACTTGATAAAGCTATAATGTCGTCTTTGGTTAACAACTGCACTTCTAAATTCTAAGGTCAATGTAGTAAATCTAGACGTGAATTGCAATCAAGATTAGTCATTAGATGTTCTCTCTTTCTTTGACCTTGATTAAGATTGTGTTATCAGGAAAAGGTAATTATGTATCTCCCTTGATGCATAATTTTGCAAATTAGATTGCATAGCTGTGTTGCTGGACATGCTTCTCAACAATACCTGCATAGGTCACCACGTTACAGCCAAGAGCAGTGGCCAAGATGCCGCACCGAAATAGAGCTTCCCTTCGACGGTTTTTGAACAAGCTCTCAAATTGAAGGTGCATAGTGTTGCTCCCATCCTTTTTTGTAACTAAAACTGCGAATAATTGCATGCTTGATATAAACTATAGTTGACGTAGTGAGTGGCTCTCTGAAATGATTCCATATTATGGCAAGTTACCAATGTCAAGAGACAAGAGCCAGAACATTGGATTATTTTATCTACTTGGATTTTAACATTTCTGATTTATTTCCTTAAGAGGTGTGTAGTGTTAACCGTTCCGTTTGTATCCATGCATTTGTGTGGTCATAATAAATTTAGTTATTTCCCACCTTCAACCTCTTTATGTATTGATGTGATTATTCATCAATCTATTGCTTAAATAGACACGATTAATCGACAAGCGGGGCGTGTCGCCGCGCGGGTTTAGCTAGTCTACACCTAGGAGCCAAAACGTCGCTCTTGGGAAGAAATCCCTTTCACTCAAAAAAACAAGACATTGAATAGACCGGAACCTTGTGCAACCGATTTTTAGGGGAAACATGCTCAGTGGTTTTTTTAGAACACACTACATACGTAGGCGCTCATATATACGTGCATACACTCACCCCTATGAACACATACATTATATCCCTATGAGCATCTCCGAGGGACTGAGCCGGGATATTATTTTGAGATTGATGAAGTCATCACAGGGGCCTTGTAGTCGACGGGAGCGTCTCTCCCACTAAACACGCATCGCCGAAAATCTTAAAATAAATTCAGGATAAATGCGAGCACATGACTTTCTGATAGACTATGAATACCACTATCCTTGACAGGCTGTTTTTTTTTGAGACAATGCTCAGAGCTGTTTGTCTAGTGACGAGAAGATCAGCCTGGCCCATTAACATGACAGGCTGCCTTGACTGTCGCAACTGGCCTGGCCCGATCCGGCTAAGGCCGAAGAATGACGACTTGGAGGCGAAGAAAGAAGAAATCGGACGGCTGCGGCTAGGCGGTGGTCGAATCGTGGCCGCTCCAAAATCGAAGGGTTTTAACCAAGTGAGGCTTGTTCGGTTTTGTTTCCTGCGGCTGCGGCGACAGGTCAGACAGAGCGGAATTCCCTTCCTCCCGCTAGCTCGGGGCGGATCCATCCACCCGGCGGACCATCTCTCATCTCTCTGGGGCGCCATGTCGGAGCACGCCGCCCCGGAGCTACCCAAGAGGTGCCACCACTGCGCAGGGCCCCTCTCCAAGGACATGGTACGGTGACGGCCTTCTCCCCCTTCACATCCGCCGCCGCCGCCGCCGCTATTGTTTTCCATCCCTTTGTAGATTTTGCTAGTGTTGAATCTTCGTCTAGGTTTGCACCCCAATTATAGTGTGACTATTGCTTGTATACTGGTTCGTGTTCAGCTATGTTTGTGTTTGCTAATCAAACGCCCGTTGTTGTATTATTAGTTTTGGACCGATGTAACTGATGCATTTTTGTGCTGTTCTTGTCTGCTTGTACTGATGCGAGATTATACTGTTATAGCTTCCTTCTAAGGCAACTTATGTGGTCAATTGCGCTAATTCATGTTTTTATGTTGATGAAGGAAACTAGCAGCTGGACCGTGACTCCATTAGTTCGAGATAGCTTCTCAATGGTTTGTTCCATCGCCTTTTACCGCCCACCAGTGCAAGTTATTCGTCTTTTTAGTCCAAACTGGAAACTTTCCAAGCATTGCCTTTTGTTTTCTGCTTTCCACCCGTGTACTAATATATAAATATGGCCATATTTGAACAGATTGGTTCCGCTGTTGGGGGTACTGCAGGCGCATTTTATGCGTTTAATCATGGTATGCTGGCTAGCATTTTGGTCAATGAGTGATTGATACATCCAGCTCTTCTAAATTTTCAGTTACTTACGGCATGCTGGTGTATTTGCGTGACAATTGGTTTCATATGTTGTGAGAAATAGTTTTGCTTTCTTCATCATGTGTTGGATGAATTATGTATAGTGTTCAGTTTAAGATTCTATAACTTCTTATGCAGCACACCACCTTGTTTGTCTGGTTGTAACTTGTGAGATGTGTTGCTAGTTTGCATTGTAATACCTGTCATTCATCTTATAGGATCCGCAGTAGCATTTCAAATCTCGTGAAAATATTCAGATATCATCTTATAGGATCCTCAATATCATTTCAAATCTCGTGAAAATATTCAGATATGCATGTACCTTGTTGCTGTATCAAAAATGATTATTAATGTTCTTGTAAAGCACCTCCCCGTAACATGCCTACATGCATGGATTTTTTTATCCCGACAATACTCATTATATTGGCTCAACTTTATTTACATGAAGTGGATTTACCTGCTTGGTATTTTGTTGCAAAGGGATCTAGAATGAAATCGCTTAGCTTTTTATGCCATTTTTTAAATTATGCTATTATACAACTATATATACTAAATAATAATATTATCTTCAGATTAGCATTAACTTTGGAATTTTTTATGTAGCTATGCCTGTTGTTCGGCGTTACATAAAAGGGCCGATGTGGATGCATTTTCTTGTTGGTGTAAGTACAGTGTCCATTTTTCCTTTTTCATACGTTGATATTATCTTATGCATGTTCTTTTTAGCATGAATTATTTGGAATGATGCAGCTCTAAGATGTTCATTTTATCACTTGATGGGCACATTTATATGCTCTAATGGTCATCCACTGCCCAAGCAATTCACAGTGACAACATTAGAACCTACAACAACAACTAATCTTTTCATTCCCAAACAAGTTGGGGTAGGCTAGAGTTGAACCCATAAGATCTCGAAACCTAGTCATGGTTCTGGCACGTGGATAGCATCACAATCCTCCTTCTTTACCCAGGCTTGGAACCGGTTATGTTGAGACAAAATAGGCGGGTTTTTTTTTTGGTGTCATCAAGCTCTAGTTTTCTTGAAATTTCTTTAAGCACGCATCAGTCGTGTAGTCTGGTATGTAAACATAGCACTGAATATTCACTGTGCCAATGTTCTGAGTTTCATACCATTCCGTACATCAGCAAGTTTTATTACTGGGGCGGGTTCCCCAGATTAGCATTGCTTAAGTGTACAGCCAGCTACAGTTGCATCCAAGAGAGTTTATCGCCTTTTATTCCTTTGAGAATTTTTGGTGCAAAGATTGCATTGGGATGCTATTTTTTGTTCAGTCTGATGAGGTCCATTGGTCTGACCCTTTTCCTCCTGCAGGCCCCTCCAGTTGTTGTATTCTCTTCTGCGTGTGCTGGATTAGCAGGTGAAGCAATACTCTTCTGTGTTTTAATATATTTATCTATTTTATGCTTGTAATTCTGCTATCTAAAAATCTGTTCTATTATTATTTCCTTGATGTCATGGTTGGTAGATTATTTTCTGTATTTCACTGGACATCATTACAAGTAATTTATAGAGATGTTCTGCATTGGAACAGTTTTCATTCCTTGGCTCCACTTGACAGTTTTTGTCACTAGTGATGTTTCACTTGGCCTGCCTATGAGCAAGTATAATAACAGGCTTGTAGCCTGGTTACATGGCATGTTTGCTTATGTGGAGGAGTGTGACATGAAAAAGCAAGAGGAATGGGATCTCATGCAAGAGCCTGCCTATACACGTGCTCCTAGGCAACGGCAATTAATATGAAGAAAGAGAAAGAGAGAAGGTGAAAAAAGTATTACGTTTGTAGCCAAGCCAACCTTTTTATACGAGTGATTGCAAACGATAGCTTTACATGACATGGCAACTTAATATAGCCAGCAGCTGACTACACTATTAGCCATGCTCTATTGGCTATAAAACACGCTTGTACCTTTTGGGGATTCCAAGGCAAATGCTTTTATGAAGTTTCATTGTCATGAAGGCTTCTGGACTGAATTGAAC